GTCACGGAGGCGTGAGCGGAGCTTTCCTGCTGAGCGGCGAAGCGGGCGACGCGTCGCCTGGCAGGCGAAGTGGCACGCCTTCCCGGCTTCCAGGGCCGCGAGGCACGGGGCCTCCAGGACGGCCGGGCATCCGCGTCGGCGACCGAGGCTGGCTGGCAGGCTGGCAGGCTGCGAGGGGAAAGGGAGGGGGAGGTGGACGTGACTCAAAGCAAGGTAGCATCGAAGGATACCGCGCTGGCAAGCCGCGCCACCCTGACACTAACTGGCAGCGAGGTGGGGTGGCCTCCAAAGCCGCTACGGATACGGCTCGCCGGATTTCTCCTAAGTTTCACGTCCAAACAAGGGACACCAACACATGCATGCACACAGCACCAACTGCGCGCACGTTTTTCCCGTTTGACACGCATCCCACACGCGAAGCAAGGCGAGCTCGTACCGCGTACTCGACTCAAGTTCACGTCAGTGGTTTGCAACGAGGCGAGTGGAGGTGAGCTCGGAATACCAAGAAGCACGCGGAGCCACGGAGCCGCGCGGCCAGAGGCTGCAGGGTGAGGGGCGCGGAGGCGCTCCGGAATATAATATGAGGCCTGTTCTTGCGCTGGCGCTGGCGCTCTGGCGCCAACAAAGGGGCTGGCACGGCGCCGCCCCTTCCACGGCCCACCTTTGGCTAACTTCCTTCTGCCCTGCAGGTGTGGGACGGCGCGCCGTGCATCAGGAAGACCAAGACCCCCTCGCTCCTCCTCCTTTCGACCCATAAAGTTTCAATGACCCGCATCACGCCAGCCAGCCAGCCAGCCAGCCAGCACGGCCCGATTTGAATGACTTTCGCGCTAAACCGATCCGCCGCCGCTCTGACGCAAAATCAGTCCTTGATCCTCCCCCACCCTCCCCCTCCCCTCTCCAGGCGGCCTCGCCCGGCTGCGGTCCGGGCGGCTCCTTTGTCCCGGCCGCCCCGGCGCTGGCTGTAATAGCGTTTATTACCGGAGGCCCTGCCTGCGGGGCGCGGCGGGGCGCGGTGTGGCGGGGCGTAGTGCGTCGTCCGGGCCGGACAGGCAGGTAGTTCGTTTAGTTCGGGGTTCGACGATTCCGCCTGCGGACGAGCAGCGCGTCGACGTCGTCGTGGTGGTCGTCGTCGTGGTCCCTGCGCGATGTTGACGCCGCCCTTCTGGCCGCCGTTCTGAGACTCCCCAGCCTCCAGGACCAGCGCTGGCTGGAGGGACTGGTGGGCTGGAACAGGAGTCACTTAATTACGCCCGGGTGCCTGGGGCAGCCTGGGGCAGCCTGGGGCAGCCTAGCCGTCCCCGGCGGCCCTGCCCCTGGCGCCAAAGCTGGCGGCCAAGGCTCTGAAAAGGCAGCCAAGCACAGGCCGAGGGCGCCAGATGACGCTCCGCTGGCCCTGCCACTGCCCTGCCACTGCCCTGCCGCGCCGGGATAACAGAGAAAAGAGAAAGGGCGGTGGAGAGAGGAAAATGGAATAAAAATGTGGCGGCGAAACACGCTTTGTCTCGGCTCGTCGGGCCAAGTGCGGCGTTCCGGCTGCTCCATTAAAGATTCATTAAAGACTGCGGCGTCCGGCCCCGCCCCGCCCCGCCCCGGGCGTGGCGCACTGAACGCCCGGCGGGGACCGCGGCGCTCCGGCTGACTAGCAAAGTGCCACGGAGCCTGCCTGCACACGGCTATCGGCCTAAGTGTTTGTCCAGGCGCGTTGTCATCCCTCGCCGCGCAGGGGAGCAGCCGAGGTGCAGTGGTGGGGTGGGGGAGCGTGGCGGAAAATTGAGTGCGGAGCGCCTGTCATGGCGAGGATAGGCCGCCCGGCGCACAGGCCTGCGCCGCCGCAGCCGCCTTGCCTACCTCGCAGGCGCTAAGGCCGCCGCGCCGCCGCGGAGGGGAATCGAACGCCGCCGTCCTGCCAGCCCTGCCGGCCCTGCCGGCCCTGTCCCCCGCCTTGAAAGGGGAACTGCTTCCCGGGAGTCTATAGTCTATACATACAGTCGGGGGAGCGCGGTATCTGATTCCAGGGAGGCAAGGCGGCGAGATTTGCTTTGCCCAGCGGGAGCGGCAGCCAGCAGCGCCAGCAGCATGCTTGCCTTCCACCGTGCTTCCAGACGGACGAACCCCTAGGCCGGGCCGCACCACGCCACCGAGGGGAGGGGAGGGGAGGGGTGGGCGAAACTTGCTGCTGGAAAACAACTCTCGGCGAGCTCTCATTCTTAGTTGATTAAGCGGAGCAGGCGGCTTGTTGTTGTCGGGATGCCTGCGCAGCAGCCAGGCAGCTGGTTGCGCCCCGCCGCGCCCCACCCCTCCCCGCCCCGCCCCGCCCCGCCCACGCCCCTGGAGCGATGCCACCTCAGTCGCCGCGCTCCCATCCGAAGGATAATCAAACCCGAGACGAGGCGCTGCTGGCGCCCAGAGTGAGCCATCGCCGGCCATCGCGGTTTGACTTTTAATTTGGACGCAGAAAGCGTGCTGGGCTGTCCGCTGAGCCCTCCGAACTCGTTTTTCAGCTTTCGCGCCCCCTCCACACCGCGAGGCCGCGAGGCCGCGAGCAAGTTTTTATCCGTGCCGTGTTGCCGCGCTGCCTTGCTGCTGGCTGGCTGGCTGGCTGGGGGATTACACTCCAGCTAATAACTGTTGTGTCCGGACGGCCTCGGCCCGTTGGACCCGCCCCGCGTTCGTCCCGCTCGATCGCACTCGGATATCCGCAGTTTTCTTTGCCCCCCTCGTAATGCCACATCGTCTGCTTGTTGCGGCGCGGTGCGCACAGTGGACCAGAAGAACGGCGGAGGCGGCCACAATCATCGCGTTTTGAGCTCCGGCGTCGCTAAATGGGACCCGAAACAAACGCGTCCACACACGCGTCCACCACACCAATGGATTGGTCTCCGAACGAGGAACCCATTGGTGGGGTCACACGGTCGTTTCGATTCCCATTTAGCGACTCTGGAGCTCAAAACGCGTCTAGAATTTTGGCCGACCCCGCCGGTCTTCTGGCCCACTGTGGTGCGATGAAGCGAGAGCGACGCGAAGTGCTGACCCGGCGCGTGGGGGACCGAGTCCCACGGCCCCGCGGCCACACTGCCCCGACTGGGGCACTTCGCGCTGTAAATCAGGGACGACACGCGTCGCCCCCTGCAATGGCATCGGGTGGGCAGACAGACGGACGAACGAACAGACAGGCAGACAGACGGACAGGCAGACAGACAGGCAGGCACACAGACGCTGCTGCCCCCGGTCCCGCTCGCGGCGGGGACACCGAGATTGAATTCGACTCCCCGGTGGCCCGGCGTGGCCCGGCGTGGCTCGGCTGACTCGGCATTATGCACGCCGAGGTCGCCTCCGCGGCGCCGCACTCGACGGCGTGCTCCACGGCACCCGTTCGGCGACGGCGAGACGGTGACGCGGGGGTGGTAATTCGTATGCGGGGCGCGGCCGGCGCGGGGCCGCCGGGCCGCCGCCAGCACCTGATGACTTTCCACCCGACAGGGGCGGGCGGTGCACTGGAAGGGGAGGGGGAGGGGGGATACAAGGCTGTGACGTACTGCACGTGGGCGCCACGCGCGCAGAGCGCAGGGCGCGCCAGGGCCGCGGGTGGAGGGCATTCCAGGCGACGCGGCGACGGCCAGCAGACTCATTCTCGAGAGTCGTTGCGTCGCTCTGTCTCTGCAACACGCGCGCGGGGGTGCGACAGAGACAGAGCGACGAGACCTTGCTTCCGAATCGCTCGGCTGAGTGAGCCGTCGTATCAAAGCGAGCCTCGGCCCGCTCCAACGTGTCTCAGGGGAGGGGCGCAGTGGGCCAGAAGACTGGGAGAGGCGGACAAAACTCTAGACGCGTTTTGAGCTCCAGAGTCGCTAAATGGGACTCGGACCGAACGTGTGACCCCACCAACGGATTCCTCGTTCGGAGAGCAATCCATTGGTGGGGTCACACGCTCGGTCCGAGTCCCTTTTAGCGACTCTGGAGCTCAAAACGCGTCTAGAGTTTTGTCCGCATCCACCAGTCTTCTGGCCCACTGTGAGGGGCAGCCAGGCGGGCGCCTTCAACAAAGGCGCCGACGCCAGCAGGCTGGTTCCGACAGTCATTTCCCTCGCTCTGCCTCTCTCGCACTCACGGGGCGTGTAGTATGGGTGCGAGAGAGGCAGAGCGAGGGAACAGACTCTCGGAATGAGTCTGCAGGTACGACACGAGGCCGCCCCAGCTCGCTTTCTCCTCTCCGGCGTTGTTGGTTGCCTCCGTCGGGGCGCGACCGAATGCTTGCACCATGATTTTTATCGTGTTTTTATCTTGATAATAATGTGATGACGAGGCCCGCTCGCCGCCCAGTTCGCACTTTATGGGACCCGTATAAAAAAATAGCACAAGCCGTAAAAGCTGGGAGACGTAAAAAAGGCCTAGAACGCGCGCAGCGCGCAGCGTGCTGCAGGTGCGTCCGCTGCAAACGGCGGAGACGATGGCGGGGCTAGGTGCACGTAGGCGTGCGAGTACCTGCAGCTGCGTGCATCGGGAGCATCAGTCGGCCACTCCGCCGCCCTGACAGCACACCGACGCCACTACACTGTGCGGCAGCGCGGCCGGAAACATCCCCGCCAGGAAGTTGGCAAGAAGCTGAGTGCGGGTCAGGGGGTGGGGGCGTACCGGTCGTGGCCCATCCCGGCGGGGTCTGTCTATCTCAGTCCATGTCCGCACGCGCGTCTCCCATGGCCAGGCCGCGCTGCCATCGCCATAAGGAACGCGGCACGCGGGAGCGCGGAGCAAAAAAGAGGAGAAAAATGCCAGTACTTGATCCCGCGGCCCCACGCGCCCTCTTTCCCATTTCCCCTCTCCCTGCTTCCTGTTTCTCGGAACGTGGGTGCGTTGTGCCGCGTTGCGCAGTGTGGTGGATGCCGTGTGCTTCGCGGAGCCGCGCGCTGCCGTTCGCAAGGCCATTTCTCATCGACGCGCGCGTCACAACGCTCTCTCTCTCTACACGTGTTTTATCTCTGTCCCTCTCTGTGTTCCAGGACGAGCATGGCGACCACGCCGACCGTGAACGCGTCGGATGAGTGGACCAACGGTGAGTGACAACGACGGGCGTGACACACGTGACAGACGCGACGCGCGATGTGACGTGACGCCGTGACGCGCGCGCAGCGGGCTGGAAACAATCCACGTCCTGTCTGCCGAAAAAACTTGTTGCGCGCGCGACGTGCGGTGTGACGTGGAGTGACGCGGTGTGACGTGGAGTGACGCGGTGTGACGTGGAGTGACGCGGTGTGACGGGCGACGGCGTTTGCATTTGATTTTGGCGGCGGATGAGAAAGGAAAGTGACGTCGGCGGGAATGCGCGGCCAAACTTGGGGCCGCCGAGCCAAGCCGGGAGAGCCGCGGAGCGCCAACGCGAAGAAGGCGAAGAAGGACACCGGGATGAAATGCCGCTCTCGTGCGCCGCGGCCGCCGCCTCCGCCAACCTCCGCTCCGCAGTCGCCATGAAGCGCCCAAACTTTTCCTATTTGATCCGAGAGCAGCCGGGCCGGCAGGACGACAACGCCACCACCACACCGCTAGACGCAACGAGACGCCTAAGTCGACTAAGGGCGCGGAATGGCGCGACGGACGCGACGGGCCGCGAGGCACACACTGCGGCATCGCTCTTTGTTGTCAGCGACACGGACACTCACACTCACACTCACACACACACTCACTCACACATACACACACCACGTCGCAAACAACGGCGTGAACACAAAACAAACTCCAGCCCCCTCCTTCTTTCCTCTCCCACACATACACACATACACGCACACACACACACACACACACACACACACACATACACACGCACACGAGACAATCCGCGTCTGTTTTATCCGTAAGGGAAATAAAGAAGGGGAGGGTGTCGCCCAGCGGGACTCAGGGCGTGCGTCTGTGTGAAAGGGGGACCTGGCTAGGGCGGAGATGGCGAGGATGAAGGAGAAGGGGGACGGGGGGAGGGTTTCCAGTACAACCAGCAACAGGAATGCTGCCCGCCGTCGGAACAAATTGCCAACTAGCGCTCATTGCGCCCTCTAGTGCCTCCAGTGCCTCCAGTGCCCCGGTGCGCGTTCTCGCCCTCTCTCTCGCACACCCTCTCAGGCCTTGTCCCGCCACGCCCCGCCACGCCGAAAGGGCCTAACCAACTAACTCTCTGCCGAGAGGGCGAGCGCGTCGAGCGCGTCGAGCGGCGTGCGGGTCATGCCGTCCAGCGGGCCGAGCCAGGCCCTACACTGCTGGACGTCCACCCGGCCAACCTCGCCGCTCTTGGCCAAGGCCTAGGCCGTTGCAGCAGGCTCATTCCGAGCACTGCTCTGTCTCTCTCGCACTCACGCAGCGCCCCGTCAGGGTGCGAGAGAGACGGCGACGAAAGCAGCGCTCGGAATGAGCCTGCAGCTGGAGCTTGCGACTGCCTCCAGCCGCGTCTGGCACCTAGGCTTGCTCGGCCTGCTCGGGCCGTCCACTCCACTATCGAGCTCCGAACCCCGAACCCGAACCGCGGGCCTTTTTCTACCGCGCCCCCCACAGCCCCACTCCCACTGCCACTCCCGGCCGCGCCCCCTTCCTCCCACCGCCATCCTCCCCATCGCGTTTCTTTTGGCAGCCAGGGGCGGTCGAGAATCGAGGTGAGAAGCTTTCACAGCGCTTCTGCACTTGATGGCGGGGCGGGGCGGGGCGGGGCGGGGCGGGGCGGGGCGGGGCGGGGCGGGGCGGGGCGGGGCGGGGCGGGGCGGGGCGGGGCAGCCAGGCCAGCACCGCTAATGCCTTGCCACTCCCAAGTTGGCGACCTGAGCCAGTCTGCAGTCTGCGTCTGCCTGTCTGCGAGTGGGGGTCGACCCGCGGAACGTAAACGCGCAGCGCGCCTCGAACCACCCCAGCCAGACGCTAGCGGGCTGCCTCCCTGGCGGTTCTGTCTCTGGGTGCGAGAGAGACGGAGCGACGTAACGACTCTTTGGATTCGCTCGACAGACTGCACGGCTTCAAGGTCGGCGAACTTTGGAGTAATTACAAGTGGGGAGATGCAAGCGGAGAGGGGAGGGCCTGCCTTGCCGGAGGCGCTGTTCCGGGCGTTCCGGGCGTTCCGGGCGTTCCGGTCTCGGAGGGCTGCAAGCCGGCTTACCGCCGCCCCGCCCCGCCCCGCTGGCGACAAGTTCGGGCCGTGTTTCACACAACCCGTGTGACGCGCGTGCACGGGGAGGTCCCAGGACCCCCAGGACCCCGCCGCCGGACGGCTCACCCCTTCTCTGGCCCGCTCTTTCTCTCTGTCTCTCTCCCTCCCGCGGGAGGCGCGGCCTGTTCATCCCCGCGCGGAGATACGGCGACGGGGCCGCGCGTGGGGGCCGAGCGGGCTCCCTCCTGCCCGATGTGCTTGCTTCGCTTGCTTCGCTTGCTTCGAGGGGGAGCGCCGGGCCTGTCGAGTGGCAAGGGACCGCCATTCACGTCAGGCGCAGGCCGGGGCAGCCCGAAGCCGAGCCGAAGCCAAGCAAGCCGAGCCGAAGTCGAGCCGAAGTGTAGCCCAAGTATTAAGTGCACCTCTGTCACTGACAAGACAAGGCTGGACCCGGTACAGGGTCACTAGACTACCCGAGACACGCCGCGCGCGTGGCAGGGCTGTTGAATAAGAGCTTCAGTTAGCTCTCTGCCACCGGGGCTGCAAATCTACACTGGCCGGGGACACCTCGCGGTCGCGGTCCTGCTCGTGGTCACCAAGTGCGTCTCCGTGTCCGCAGCGTCCGCGGCGTCCGCGGCCACGCAGCAGCCCCCGGGCGTGGGCTGGGAGTGCTCCCGGGTGCAGCTGGGCCACCCGGTGTCGCTGGCGGTGGCGCCCGCCCTGGACCTGCTGCTCAACAACATGAAGCTGGCCTTCATGCTGCACGTGTACGGCATCGCCTGCCTGTTCAGCGTGCTGGCCACCTACACCTTCTTCTCGCTCATCAACCTGAGGTACGGCGCGGCGGCAGTGCTTTCATTATGCCGTCACGGACATGAAAAATAATGTTGTTGTTTTATGTTCCAGATCGCTCATCTCGAGCAGGCCCTTCATGACCTCCATCAACGTGTTCCTCTGCATGCTGGGCGCCTCGCGCGCCGCCTACCTCATGCTGGACCCGTACAACCTGCGCGAGGTACTGCACTGCGTTCGTGCTGCTTCGCCGCTCTGTCTCTCTCGCACTCACGGGCATGAGAGAGACAGAGCGACCAAAAAACGACACGTCTCTGCTGTTGCAGGTGATGCCGCGGATCATGGGGGCGCTGCTGTGGGACCTGGCCTTCCCCTGCCTCACCTCCGCGTTCTGCCTCATCCAGCTCGCCTTCCTGCAGCTCACCAAGGTAGGCGACGCGGACGGCGACGCGCCCCACCGGAAAAAAGCGGCGCGACGCGGAGTAATCGCAAACATCCTTCGGTGCCGAAGGCGCAGGCCTGAAGGCCCCGAAGGCCCTGAGGGCCGTGCGGCGTGGCGGGCGTGCCATCATGGGGCCGCCATCGTGGTCCCACACCGCGCTGCGATCGATAGTCTAATTTACTGTGCAATCCCGGGGAGTCGCCTCCTCTTTCCTGTCGGGGAAACTATCGGCGGAAAGGCAGGCGGACGGACGGGACGGGCGGAAGGCGGACAGACCGGCGGATGTCGCAAGCCGAGCTCTGTGGCGGAGCCAAGCAGTGTAGGCAATGCAATGGTGTGGAACTCGGGCTGCTAAATAGAAGGTTTCCGACGGCTCGTCCCCGTCGAGCCCCGCGGGGGTCCGCGCCAGGCCAGGGGCGAGGGCGGCGAGGACGGCGAGGGCGGCGACCAACAGGTGTGTTATCCAGCCCTAGGCAGCCCTGCCCTGCCCTGCCGCCCTGCCGCCAAGCCACTAGAAATAGAACACCCTTGGAGGGCCTAATCGTTTGCCACGGATTTTGACCTGGGGCGCGAGGTACGTGTAGCTCACACTGCTCGCAGTGGCCTTGCGCGGGACCTTTGTCGGTCGTCCCAGCGGACGGGTTCGCAGACACCCGCACTGCGAGTAATGTCCTGTCGTGCGAATAACCAAATGACGCCCCGTGTTGCAGCTCAAGGTCGGGCCGCGCGCGCTGCGGGAGAAGACGGTGCCGTCGCTCGTCATCGCCATCCACTTCACCTTCGTGCTCGGCATCAACATCATCCTGGGCTTCGACGAGAGCGCGCTGGTGAGTGCGGCGTTCGCGCCGTCTGTCTTTGTCGCACTCGTGGTCCGTGACGTCGCGGTGCGAGAGAGACAGACTGACTCCTCTGTTGCCGCAGCCCTTCAAGCTGCTGGGGGAGACGCTGTTCGCGGTGTGGGCCTGCGTGCTCTTCGCGTCCTTCGTGTCGCTGAGCGGCCACGTGCGCAGGCTGCTCAACAGGGTGCCCCACGGGGTGCTCCTGCAGCGAGACCCCTCCGACTGCCACGCCAAAGGTAAACAGAGAAACGGAGAACGGGCAGGGCCTGACCGCTCGGGACCTCGAACAATCGCTCTGCTTTTCGCTGTTGCAGGCATCATGCAGCTCGCCATGCTGGCGCCGTACTCCAACTTGGCCTCGTCCGTCGCGGCCGCGCTGGTGCCCACCTTGTTGGCGCCGCGGCTCGGCCAGGGCGACAGCGGTGGTGAGTCTCAACAACTCGGAGGGGAAAAAATAATAAAAACTCGTGACCAAGGTTCGCTGGTCGGGCGGCGCGCACGGCGGGGTGGGGCGCGGCGCGTCGGCACGAAGGCGCCCTCGTTTCGCCGCGTCCGGTTCGAGTTTGGAAGGCGCGGAGCGCGCGGAGCTTCGGCCGCCGAATTCGGTAATAGCGGCTGACATCACAAAGTGACATGGCGCCAACGTAAAAAGCTTTATCGACCGCACCCCACACGTGGTCCCCGCCCCGCCCCGCCCCGCCCCGCCTCGTCTTTGGTCCTACCCTTTCGGCCATGGGCGAGATCAGCATGGGAGCTTCCCTTCGGGCGCCCTACAAAGACAGTGTAGCAGTGGTCCTCGAAGGCCGGCCGTCCGATCCGAATCCGAGCCCAAAGGACCTTGAAACAACAACGACCCTTCTTCTTTTTCGTCCATCACTTCCCCCTCACATGATGTTTTCCCCTCAAAAATCACTCTGCAGCAGGTGAGGGAGCCGCCCCGCATTTTGGCTAGAGAGGTCGGGCGGCCCTCGGGCGGCCCCAAGGGAGGTGTCCGGATTTCGCCTCGGCCCTCACCCCCTCGACCTCGTCCTCGTCGCCGGGGGTGCGATCACAGTGTGCCAGCTACTGGGTGCGTGGGCAGAGTGGCGCCCGGTGGCGTCGGACGGGCTGCTGGAAAGAGAGGCAACACGGTGTCGCCTTTCGCGTGATGTGGCGTAGGGCAGCGCGGGGCGGGGCGGGCGCCGCGGACCAGGCGGCGAAGTGGCGGAGGACGACGACGACGACGACGACGACGACGAGCAAGGCGTGCAGGGCGCGGTGGCAGGCTTCACGCCAGAGTGCGCACATCAGCGGCGAGGACTCCAGGACCAGAATAACCGGGTCCCCCACCCGGCCCTACCCAGCCCTCAGCCCTGCGACACGCCCTGCCGCCGCCGCCCTGCCGCCATGCCCACGGGCCCGTCAACGCCCCGCCGCCTCACCCTAGCCCTAGCCTGCCAGCCTGCCAGCCTGCCAGCCTGCCAGCCCCAAAACCGCGCAGATTTGATTTAGCTTTGCCATGGTGTCGGGCTCGGCGTGGCTCGGCGCTTGCCCCGCTCTGCCCGCTCCCACCCGCCCGGCCGGCCCGGCCCGGCCCGGCGTATTTATGTGGAACTATTCCAAGCCCGCGGCGCGTCGACGGGCTGGGCAGCCACGGGCCCCGCTGGGGTCCACTGGAGGGAGCAGGCCCTGTGGAGGCCGTGGACGAACAGGCGGTACACCGGTGCACATTTCTAAACGTCCTGTCGCCACAAACTACTGGCCCGCCACGCGAGAAAATGTTGGGCGTTGCAATTGCAGCCATGGAATTGCCTCACTGAGAGCCTCTCGCGGGATGCGGGGCAGCGACGAGCCAGTCCTTTTTGTCGCCGACTGTACTTACCTGGGTCGCTTCCAGTCGCCCTCGGCAAGAAAGCCAGCCTCATTAATTTTGGAAGCGAAACCTGAAGAGAAACGTTTCTCTCCCAGTCCCTCTCCGGGATCAACTGAGAAGTGCCTTGCTGTCTCACTCGCTCGCTAACGAGCCGTCGGCAGAACTTCTCCCTCGGATGGTCTGCAACAAGCAGCAGGTCTGATTATCAAGCCCCAGCGAGCCCCAACGGCCCCGAGCGAGAGCGGGGCAGAGCGGAGTCCACTGGAGTTATGTCTATGGGAGTTCCCAAGGAGACCGAAAATGCAGCTCCTTGGAGCTGCTTTGGCTGTGGACCGTAGGTTTGCGATCAATTTACCGAGGGAAAACTTTCTTGGCCTATGCGTGCCAGGCTTCTCTATCGCGACTCACTAACTCAAGTTCTGCTTCATTGCATTTTTTTTATAAACGCCCACCTCTTTTAGGAGAGGTAGAGTTTGGCCGCAAGGTCCCCGAGCGAGTCCCCGAGGCTACGACCTCCGAAACGGATTTTCCTGTTGCCTCCCCGAGTGGACTCCGGAGACTCCGGGCCCTCTGCGCTGGACTCGCTGGAGCCACACGGCGTGGCACGGCGTGCCAAGGAGCTTAGGGGCGGCACGGCCTGCTCGGGCTGCTCGGCGTGCTTGGCGCGGGGCGCCGCAGCCAGGCACCTCATCCACAAGGCCGCGAGGTCTTCATTCCGGCCCGACCCGTCACGTTCGGCGGATCTACGCCAGGAAACGCCAAGGGGCCGCGGAGGGTCGCGGAGGGTCGCGGAGGGTCGGAGGCGAGGCCGGCGGGGCGGAGGCTGGAAGGGCGACGCGCAGAAATCACTTTTGCCGCGGCCCTGCTGTCACGCTCACGACGAGGAGCGTGGCGAGAGAAGCGAAGCACCTGGCCGGCTCACCTCCACCCACACACACTCCATGGCGGCAGCGCGGTGCAGCCCACCCACAGTACAGCCTCTGCAACAGACTGATTCCGATTTCGCCCTGCTGTCACTCTCGCACTCATGGGTAGGAGAGAGGCAGCGCGACGAAAACAGACGAAAACGACTCTCGGAATCAGTCTGCAGAGGTGGTGGCGGCGCCACGGCGGCACCAAACACTGGACCGGACATGATTGAAGTGAGTTTGTCTCGGCTGGGCGCACGGCACAGGCCGCACCAATCACAGAGATTGGACGGGGGCTGGGCGGAGTGGCGGAGTGGCGGAGTGGGCGGAGCGAGAGGGCGGCGGCCGCAGCAAAGGCCACCGCGAAACCCGACGCTAACGCAGCGATACACCGCTGTGCCGTGCCGCGCCGCGCCGCGCCCCCGCAGCGTCCGGCCCGGCGGCCCCAGGCGGCCCCAGAAGCCAGAGTGGCCCGCGGTCGCCGCGGTGCGCGATGAGCATGAGGGGCTGGAGCCTGGCCGGCTGGAGCAGCCGGGGCTGTGCCGGGGCTGTGCCGGGCGGCGCCACAACTCACGCCCAGCCTCAGGCTCGGCTCAGCCTCGGCCTCAGCCCAACCCGAATGCCGAGCGAAGCGGAGCAAAGCCGGGCTGGCCGTCATGAAAATGCATGAGGCGAGGCCGGCAAGGCGACCTCTGCTGGAAACGTCGCGTGTAGGCAGTGTAGGCCCCGACACGCTTCGCTATGCCCGGCTATGCCGTGCGGCGACGCCATGGCCACGGGGTAGGCAGCAGGCAGCACCAGATCACTGCAGTGCTGCACGGACGGGGGAGGGCTCACTGAGGTCCAACGTGATGTAATTTAAAATTTTCTGACAAAGTTTGAATGTTTTGTCGCGTACAATGATTGTTTCCAGGGGCGCGTCTCAAAGGCAGCACCGGCTCTGTTTTCAGATCCGTCTGGCGAAACAGAGCGGTTTTGTGTTTGGTGGCTGGCTGGACCCGTTGGCCGTTTGCTACCAGTTGGCTGGACACACCCCACCCCTTTCCGGTCCGCCAACAAGTCCCAGGGGCTCCGTGGGGGCACGGGGGTAATGCGGCTCTGATCCCCAAGGATGAGGAGGGCGCGCCCCGCCGCGCCCCGCCGCGCCCCGCCGCGCCCCGCCGCGCCCCGCCGCGCCCGCCGCGCCCGCCGCGCCCCCGCGCCCCGCCGCGCCCCGCCGCGCCCCGCCGCGCCCCGCCGCGCCCCGCCGCGCCCGCCCTCGCCTCCGCCCCGCCCGCCCCGCCCCGCCCCGCCCCGCCCCGCCACGCTGCCCTTCAGCCTTCACTGACCGTACCCGTCCGCCCGTCCGCCGTCGAAGGGGTGGACCAGGCCGCCCCGCCGCCAGTGTGTTCTGCTGGTCTTGCTCGGCCGCCGCGCCGAGCGATTCGGAAGAGTCACCGCGTCGCTCTGTCTCGCTCGTGAGGCCCTCCGCAAAGGTGCGAGAGAGACAGAGCGACTGTTGCGCCGCGGCCTCCCGCACGCCACGCTGCTTTGCTGCTCGAATGCTGTAATCACGGTCACTGTGGGCAGTGTGGGCCCCACCGCGGTCGGGGCGGCCTTGGAGACCAGCTGACTGCCGCCTCACTCCGAAGCACTCCGTCGTCTCTCTCGCACCGCCCACGGGGCGCCCCATGAGTGCGACAGAGATAAGCCGAGCGACGATACAATTCTTCGGAAAGACTGGAGCGAAAGACAGTGAATAACAGAGAGTGAACGGCAGTGACAGGTAGTTAACGCCAGGAAAAGGCAGTGAAAGGCAGTGAACGGCCGTGAAATGCAGTGGGCGGCAGTGAGTGAAAGGCGGTGAAGGGCAGAGAAATGCAGTGAAAGACAGAGAACGGCCGGAAAGGGGGCGGAATGCGCGCGCGGAGGGCGGCAAGGGCGGCAAGCGGCGGGAGGGGAAGGGAGAGGCGAAGAGACTCCGTGCCGCGAAGGCCGCGTCGCTACCCCTGCGCGCGCAGTCGGCCGCTGGCGAGGGGTATTTCCGCCCCGGCGTCTAATGGTCAAGTCAGTATTGCCTTGAACGTAGGCAGAGGTAATTTTTGCCTACGTTCCTATGTTGAAAGGGTTGGTCAAAAAGTGGTCGAATCTCGGAAATTTGCTGATTTTGCTGACTTTGGGTGGCCACTGTGTCCAATCTGGTTGCCGTAAAAGGCCTCCCTCGGCGTCTTAGTATTCTTAAGACCCTACTCTTTCATACCCTGTATCGGGAAGACGTTGACCACAACGATTTTGGCTTTGACCGCAACGATTTTCCGACCAAGTTGGTCAAAAAGTGGTCGAATCTCGGAAATTTGCTGATTTTGCTGACTTTGGGTGGCCACTGTGTCCAATCTGGTTGCCTTAAAAGGCCTCCCTCGGCGTCTTAGTATTCTTAAGACCCTACTCTTTCATACCCTGTATCGGGAAGACGTTGACCACAACGATTTTGGCTTTGACCGCAACGATTTTCCGACCAAGTTGGTCAAAAAGTGGTCGAATCTCGGAAATTTGCTGATTTTGCTGACTTTGGGTGGCCACTGTGTGCAATCTAGTCGCCGTAAAAGGCCTCCCTCGACATCCTAGTATTCTTAAGACCCTACTCTTTCATGCCCTGTATCGGGAAGGCTGTTGACCGCAACTAGCTTGGGAGCGGTAGCCTCACAAAGTTGGTCATGAAGGGTAAAAACATAATGATGATCGGGGGCCTTTTGCGGTCTTATCCGCTGGGGCCTTTTGGGGGCCAGTCCGAGCCTGCACACTGGTTACTGGGCAGCTGTCGAGTGCCAGAAGCGCGACACCGCGACGTCCCGGTCTCGATGAGGGCCACGTGAACTTGCTGAACGCGGCGCACATGGCGGCGCCGTTCACGGTGGGATTTGTGTTGTGTGCGCCAATTTTGGGTGGTTGCCAACGGCACGCCGATGACGCCACGCTTGCATGTTGCAGCCTCACGACGCTCCGGCCCGAACCTCGCCTCGCAGATGGCCCGGTCGCTGAACGCCAACCTCAACGGGTCCGGGGCGGACTCCGGGGCGTCCTCCGGGACCTCGGCGGCGGCGAGCGCGGCGCCACCGCCCGTCATCAAGACCGAGGACGTGGACGCGCCCACCGTGATGGTCCGACCGGCCACACCCACCATCATGGTGTGCCCCGGCAGCCGCAGGGGCAGCACGGCCTCGCTCAGCAGGAGGGGATCCTCGTGAGTCCATTCACTCAACGACCCTCGTGCCCTTGCTCGTGCCCTTGCTTGTGACCTTGCTCGTGACCTTGCTCGTGACCTTCTCGGCTTTGTCCAGGTGCCTGGAGGCCGCTGTGACGGGGGAGGGCACTTCGCGTCGCCGCAGCAGCAGCGGACTGGAGCCGATCCTTCCCGATGACGGCGGCCCGCCCAGGTAAGAGGCTAAGTCACGCGCACGCCCTCGTGACTCCATGGAGTACCCCATGAACGACACTGCAATGACCCTCTCTCTGTCCGGGCAGCCGCCGGGCCAGCTCGGCCTCGCTCCTGCGGATCGCCGAGGAGGGCTCCGGCCCGGACTGCCTCGTCGTGGACTCGTCGCCGTCGCCCACGCGCCGCAAGAAGAGCCTGTCCTGGAAGGGGGATGACGACGTCGTGTCCCCCGCGCCGGTCTGTATCTCTCTGAAGCCGTAGAACTGCAGCTGTCCTGAGGCCGAGCCAGTTGGGCTGCCTACCCACCGGGCGCGCCGGCAGGGGCACGCGGTTTCCGTGCATCCGGAGCTGGGGGCAACCCAACTGGAAATTTCATTCTAATATGGATAGTTAAAAAAGTTGATTGATTCTTTAATATTTTTTCTAGGAGATTAACCAGGCATTTGAAGCAACTCCCTCTAAATCAATTTTGAAGGAAGCGCCAGCCGAGGACAAAACCACTGCCGAGACCAAATTGCTGCCTACAGAACCAGACAACGCCATCAAAGTAAGTGGAGCTTGGAAATGTCTGCGCTGCTCCGATGCTTCGCAGTGTACACTGTACAGTCCTCGGTCCTCGGCGCGCCATCGGTCAACTCGCGTGCCGCCTGGCGGCGCTCGGCTTCGGCTCGGCCCCAATTAAATGCGCGCCTGGGCTCCCCCTCCCGCCGGACTCCGTGGCGCAACGGTAGCGCGTCTGACTCCAGATCAGAAGGTTGCGTGTTCAAATCACGTCGGGGTCAGGGAGATTTGTTTTGTTTTCACGGCGGCGGAAGGTAAACGGTATACGCGTGCGTTGGCGAGGACGATGACGGGGGAACCAACCGCCGCGTGGCTG